TTCCTTTGAACCGTTTTTCCCACAACTCTTCAGCCGCCTGCTAAGCAGAGTGGGTGCTCTCAGCCGGGCGCACAGCCCGCATCCTGAGACTCCTTTTCACGGATGCACCAGTCTGTATTTCATTTTCCTGAAAATTACAAAGTATAATGAAATGCCTTGTTTTGCTTGGTGTACTTTTGTCCCGCTGAAACATGTCTTTTTAGATAAACATCTCTTCACTCCTTGTATTTGAGAAAATGTCCATCCTGCTGGCTTTGTGTTTGATTGTTAGTGCAGCTAGGTGAGATGTTCTAGGGAGGGAGCTTTTACCCTCAGTGTTTCACTGTTCACTGCATCTCACTCCTGGAACTTTTGGATACCCAAGGTCTCTCTGGTTGAGTCTCTTTGGGCCATGGGCTTCTTTCTGCAGCACTTGGAGATGACTGGCTGTCTCCGGTGGTCTCCAACCCTGTGATCTGTTTGTCAAACTGGGTCCCCATGCCTTCCCACTGTGAAGCTTTCTGTTCTGCAGTCTCTGTATCCTATTTTTGCTTTGATGGATCCCATGTCTCTGCTCTCCTTCTGGAAGTTGGTACCCTGATATTGGCTGTCAGGTTGATGCTCTTGTTTTCTTATGTGTTGCTGATGTTTCAGAATTGTTTGCTTAGAAATGCTTTCATCTCTTTTTCACACTTTGTTATTACATTTTTAATTACAATTGTGATTTTTTGTGTGCTTTTCAAGAATTTTTTTAAAATGGTATTTAGTTCCTGCTTTGTTTAAAAAGCATCTTTTTATTTCCTGAAGCAATGTTGCTTCTGTCTGAGGACACTGCTGATAGTTTTTCTTCTCTTCCTTGATTACTCTCTCAAATTCTTCTTAAATATTATGTTTGTTTGTTTCTTTCTTTCTTTCTTCCTTCCTTTCTTTCTTTCTTTATTATGTATATGTGTGCCTTTGTGTGTTTGTGTGTGCGTGTTTTGTGTGTGCGTGTGTGCCTGTCTGCTTTTGACAGCCAGAAGAAGGCATCAGGCCCATAGAACTGGAGTTGAAGGGTGATTGTGAGCCAGCGAGCAACAGATTCTCTTACCCCTTGGGCCATTGTTTCAGCCCCCCAAATTTCTTTACTAACAAGCATGGTCTCTCTTTTCGTATTAGTTCTCAGATATCAGATAATTCTAAGCATCAAAGCTTCATGTTTGAAGTAAAACAAAAATACCTCACTATGGTTAGTTGAAAACCAGAAGGTTTAAAATGAAATTTAACATAAATTATCGTTGCTCCTTCTGTGGTAACCTTGATGCCATAACTGTCTATTTTCAGAAAATTGTGAATATTATTCTGGTTGTTGTTTTGACAATATTTTTGATTAAAGGAAAGGAAGCATTCAAAGCTAACAAACCTTAAATGGTGCTTCAAATTTTTTGCATGTGAATAATAAATGACTTTCTTTCCGACTCTTGGCCCGGTTCCTTCTGTCTGTTCGTTTACTAGCTACCAATTTATCTCTGTGAGCTCTGTCCCACTTAGTGTGGTATCCATGACTTCTTCCAGGAGAGGCAGTCTTTAGGGCTTTGATTCTAGGAAAACTGACTCATAGTCTTGAGAAATTACATTATTTCTACCCCACACACATGTGTATTTATTTTTAACAACTGCATCCTACTTTCCCTACAAATGGTGAGTTACTTTTTAGTATCAGTTTTGATAAGTCAAAGACAGTATGTTTCAAATGTTTGTTGCCTTTGCCACATAGTGCCGCAGACATATTAGGTCGCTGTCAGTGGTCTATGGAGTTCCCTTTATGCTCCTGCTTCCAGCATTCGGGTTCAACAAGATGTGAACCCTTTTGGGCAGGCTGATAAGAGAATAGTGTCTTGGACTTTTCATTTGTAAGTTTTATGTTGCGAATAAATTGATTGTCTCTTCATATATTTACCAACAATTTAATTTATTTTGTCGATGATGAGTCATTTGTATCTATTTGCCGTCTTTCTGTTGCAGTTTTCATTTTTTCTAATTGATAGATTGGGGCTTAATAAGAAGGAAAGAGCTTTGTCACTTGTATAATAAGTGTATTTGGAGGACTTTCATCTTGCTTACGGTGACATTTACTATCTGAAGCTCTACATTTTTATGATATCAAATCGATCAGTGTTGGTTTTTTTACGGGCTTAGTTGGTCTTTTGCCATGATTGTACTGTGCTTACTCAAGCATTCTTCTAGAATATTTATTGTCTTGTAAAGACTGAAAGATTTATACAGTTCCAAAGAGTCTAGTTGACAAATTTGACCTAAAAGTAAAATATATCAAGTACTTTTATTGTAAAAAGATAATATATATTATATGTACATAATATTTATATTATATATTACATGTGTGTATGTAATGTATATAAACCTGAAGACTATGCACTAATAACTAGTGACATTCCCTAAAAGGCCATCGTTCTTTACTTTAGAGACCAGTAACAATGTCACCTGTGACCACTTTATAATGTATCTTGAGAGATACTATGTTTATTTACAAGAAAGATGATTTGGGGGTTGGAGAGATGACTCAGCAGTTAAGAACACTAACTGCTCTTCTGCAGGACACAGATTTAATCCCCAACCCTCACATGGAGGCTCACAACTCTCTATAACTACAGTTCTGGGGATTCAGTGCCCTCTTCTAGATTCTGTGGGCTTCAGACATGCACATGCTATGCAGACATCCATGTAGGCAAAACACCCATACATATAAAATAAATATAAGTCTTTATAAAAGAGAAAGACATTTAAAATGGAATGGTTGCGGGATATTTTATAAATTGGATGTGTTTCTAGCAAGTGAGCAATGTACTTTAAAAAAAAAAAAACAAAAACCTTACTTTATATTTACCTCAAAGGTCTTCCTTTCCGCTCTTCCCATTTTCCCTTCCCATTTCCCTGATTTTTAAATCACCTCAGCTACGTTTGTGACTGTTTTGTTTGCTTGTCTGAAGATGTTATTCATGTTCCTATTCTTCATTTGCTAACAGCGTTTAAGGATGTGAGTAATAAACCTGCAGAACAGCTGCCTCAGGTGCATCTTTGGGAAGGCAGTTATTAATGTTTCGATAATCTATGTGTAGTTTCAAAAGCATCTTTTATTTCAGGTTGTGAGTGAAGTGTTTTAAATAATTGAAGTGATTTATTGAGCATTAAATATACTGGTAATCAGAAGGAAGTATAAAAGGCTCACGCCGTGGGTAGAAGATTTACAGTAGGGATTCTTATGACTCTGTGTTCTCCTGTTATCCAGGTTCATTTTGATGGCTGGAGCAGTTGCTATGACTACTGGATAGATGCAGACTCTCCAGATATTCACCCTGTGGGCTGGTGTTCCAAAACTGGTCATCCTCTTCAGGCTCCACTAAGTAAGACACACTTAGATCATCATGACCAACGTTTTCATTTTCTTAAATAGTGTGCTTAATTTTTTTGTCTCCTCTTTCTCCATTTCCTTCTATTTCTCCATATATTTCTATTTCTCCATATATTTCTTCTCTTTTGATTGCCAGTAGTGCATGTATCACGTGAGCACACACACATGCACACACTCACGTGCACATGAGCACATACACACAAAATTATAAAAGAAAAATCACGTTGCCTAAATAAATAAGGTATGCTGTTTTGAGTTTTGTTTAGAAGTAAACATAACCTTTTACAATTAGTGCTAATTTTTAGAAGATAATTTGCCAGACTATTAAAATTTCAGTACCCTAATAGTGACCTGATACTATAACCTTGAAAATGTTATCACTGGCAGATCCTAGGAAATGTATTAAAAAGGCCACCTTCTGCTTTGTAATTTATTCTAAATGCAAATTCATAGTTCACTCAGTAAAGATTTAAATTCAGGATGATAAGAAAAGCATATACCACACACAAACACACACACACACATAGAAAGAGAGAGAGAACATACACCATGATCTGCGTTAAAGAATATATGCCTTGTGTGAGAAAATTATGAAATACAATATGCTATAGTCAGTTTTTTAAAAACTAATTGGTGTTCTTTCCCTAAACTATATGCGAGATTGATGTGTGCTATATTCAGACTAAGGGTACATAGTCATACTTGGGTATACTTCTAATTGAAGAATGTCTAAAGTAACAAAGTTGGAAGTTTTTAGTTAAATAAACTATGGCACGTAGTTTTTATAGATAACATCGTTGTGAAGAATATTAATATTGTAAAATGTGAAAGACAAATCGGAAGAAACTGTTTTAGATACACTTTTGAGTTGTACCTTTTATGAAGCAGAATGAAAATCCTCCACTTGATACAGCTGTGAATTGACAGGTTGGAGCCATAGCTAGGAGGGCGTTCATCCACAGTGGTGTGTGGGAGAGAACAAGCTGCCAATGTTTGTAACTTCGTGTGCAGTCCAGCCCTGGCCACTTAGTTGGCTTGGGTGGGTCCAACATGGTGCTTATATTTCATATTCTCTGATCCAGTGTTTGAAATTTTCACAATTAATATTTTTATGTGGTTTTTCCATTTGATAACAGTTCTTTCAAATATCCCTATCAAGTCACTTTTAAACATCCTTGTTGTCTGACCTCTTAAAATAAGGTTAGATCAAAATTTAGCATTTCAGGATAAAGAAATATAAACTTTGTGACAGAATGAACCATAGAGAATATTATTAAAATAGAGATATTAAAACATTTAAATTTTTTACAAGAATTCCTTTTTTTTATATGTACACATAGAGACAATCGTTCCAGAAATGGAGTTTTTTTCCTCCGCTCTACTCTCATTCTAGACATTTAAATCAATAGCTTTCTGTTCAACTTCTTGTTGTATTTTCTTTTTTACCTTTTCTTTTTATTATTTTTGTTGTAGGCCCTGCAGAATTAATGGAGCCATCAGAAACCGGGGGATGTCCAACTCTAGGCTGCAGGGGGATTGGTCATTTTAAAAAATCAAGGTACCTGGGAACTCAGAGGTACGTGTTCGCCACTATTTGCATGGGGACTTTTGTGCATGTTGGATAGAGGGTGCCTGTCTGCGAATGTAGAAGATAATTTTCTTCCATAAGAAACAGATGTGAGCTGATTTTATATTCAGAGCCATAGGGAATGTGGTTACCATGGAGACTGTAAAACCGAAGGCTATATCTAAAGTTAAGTCTTCCCAAGGGAACACTCATTCACTGTTTAAAATAGATTTACTTTAGTTATTTGGTAGGTTTGTTTGTTTGTTTGTTTGTTTGGTTGGTTGGTTGGTTGGTTGGTTGGTTGTTGTTGTTTTAGCTTGGCTAGTTTTGCAAATACTTGGCTTCTAAAATAGTTATTTGGGATTTACCATTAACGAGGTGAGGGCAGGTACTGTTGAAATTATTTAGTGAAATATGATGTGGCTGGGTGACTTCACAGTTTGAAAAGTCAGATATTGTAGATTAGCCGTGAACATCACCAAACAATATGACCAAATGTAAGGATTTAATGGTCAGGAAAGTGATTATTTTTTCCCCAATATTTTTTCTTAATGGTAAGTAACTAGAAAAGAAACCAAAAATACAACTAAAACTTGATGTTCAGGTGATTTGGGATCTTCATAGATATTGAAATATATTACTGAAATAAATTCCTATGATTTAGTAGGACTTCTCAGGGACAAAGGGGTCACCCATTTGAATATGTATTAAAATAGTAATAGTTATCAATGCCCATTATGGAAACATGCTAATTGTATTACTCATTGGGAAAATTATTTCTTATTCATCTGGTTTGAGTCTGGCCCCTTAAAATTCTGAAATTATAGGTCAGTGAGATTGCTCAGTGAGTAAGTACCACCAAGCCTGGAAACCTGCATTCCATCTGGAATCCATATGGTAAAAGGAAAGTTGTCCCCTAACCTCCATACATGCTGTGGCCCCTGTAACATTAAACACATTCAGAAATGTTGCTACCCATTCCTCTAAGAAAGAGTTAATAAGACTTGCAAAATTGGTGCTTTGTTTTCATTTGGGTTCAGTGAACTTTCTGTTTGTCTCTGCATCCACAAGTGTTTCTTTTTCTTCTTGTTTTGACATTCATTGTGTTCCAGAATAAAAAGTGCACGGACAGGATGATGATCCCATTTGTAGGTACCCCTTTTTAAACCCTTAGTGCCACTCATATGGCTACAAACCAGATAGAGCATTAATTTAAACTCTGCTGAAGACACTTCAGCCTAGAAGTTATTGGTTTTGCCTCACGAAGGCAGCTGGGTCACTTTTCAGCTAATAGGTCAGTCCAAGTGCAAGGCACAGTGCACGAGTGTGCAAAACTGCACCCTCAATTGAGACAATCTTTTGTTCAGTGGTTTCTTCTGAAGAACAGTTCTTTTTCTCAGTCGGAACGTGTAACCCTTATCAAGCATTCGCCTCCTCTGTATCAGAGATTGTTCTGTTGCCCAATGGCAGTCTGCTGGCTTTCAGAGCCACACTGTTACAGGAAATTCTTTTCCCATGAGCTGTGGTGCGCCCAGTGGAGTGCTCCATAGGCATAATAACTTGTCCTCTCTAGCCACAGGTGAGGGGAGCTGAAAGGTCTGGCCTTGACCTTTGCCGCCTCACTGCCCCCCACAGCCCTGCTCCATGACTCGGTCCCACGTTCAGCATCCCCACTCACACGGCATCATTTTAGGTGGAATACAGAACATCCTAACTGAAATGAGGGTCTTTGACTCATCTGCATTACCACCGTACAGTCCCGTGATGTTCATTAGACTCAAGGCAATTTCCTCAAATTGAAAGGAAAGAACGAAGAAATGATTAAACTGGGTAAATTCTGACGTGGTGTTAGGATACAGTTGGCTATTTAAAATCTGCCTTTAGCACCGGAAGGGAACACACCATACAGCACTGTGCATACTGAATAACTCTAGAGATGAGAATTCCACACCACGTGCATAGTCTCACTGGCAGCTCCTTAGGGCCCAGTAGGAAAGTTATGACAGCGAAGTGTGTATGACAACCAAGCCACATGCCCTAGCTGCTTGTCTGGACTGCCTTTACCCTTAGGCTCCTCCAGCCCAGCTGCTCCCCCAGTTTAGTGGTTGTCTTTGGGGAATTTCTTGATGGATTGGCTACGACAGGTGGTGTTGTGCTTGTTACTAGGAGGGGTAAATTATGGGAAGATCCAGAGAGTAACTTATGCATAAATGCGGGAAGGAAACAGAGTAATTGGAATCATGTTCAAGAACTGCTCATGTTCTTTAAAAAAAAAAAACAAAAAAAACCCTGGCAGAATATAGTTTATGACGGAAAAGACAAGGCTTAGCCAGAAAACCACAGTGACTCTCTTGAGGATGCAGGGCATGGCTATCGGGATCTTTGTCTTGTGCAGGGTTGGTGGGCCAGGTCTCTGGACAGAAGAATAAAGCTATGAGAACTGATGACATGGTACAGGTTCTGCTGTCCGCCCTTCCCAGCCTGTGCACAGGTTTTCCCCGCTCCTTGTGTAGTCGGTATAATTTACAGTGCTCCACACTGTCTTCTTGGCAGGACATTAATCCTTAGCGGGCCCAGCCTGTTTTCCATCTCATCAGTACACTTGTGGATTAGCTCGCTGCTTCATCCATATTCTCTGAAAGGTTCATTTCCCTGGCAATTATTTCTGTCCTTGCTGAGAATGCTGTGCTTAGGAAAACATAATGAGAAAATTCTCTTTGGATTAATTTACTGAGAAACTGAATAAATCAAAACATGCGTTCTTTGCATAGATAACAAAGAAAGTTGCTCTTTCAGTAAGGTTAGCGTTAGGAGCACGTAAGCAAAAGACTGGTGGTTTGGCTGGCATTTGCTTGTGACTGTCTCTGAAGATTACAAGTTATGCTTGACCTAAGAAACGTTAGGAGCAGAGTATGCATTTGGTAACACAGGTGGGGGCTGCAGCCTTTCTTTACTATGAAATATAATTAGTGAAGAGCGTTCTCATCTCCAAAGAGGATTCTATAGCCAGCTCGCTCAATCCTGACTCTCCATTCTTTTTTTGGCCGACTCAGAGGTCTGAGAATGGGAAAAGCCCACTTGAGGTTAAGAGAGCTGAAGTTACATCAAAGCAGCTATTCTACATATTTATTGCCTTCAGAAGTACGTCTTTGATATATAAAATCTGATCTTTTAGAAATTAAACAAGAGAATGCTTATTTCCTCCCGTCTCTAGAGAATATAGTTGGCATTCATGTAGTGCTCTTCAAATTAATAACCGTGGGTGCACATCTGAAACCTGGTTTCCATTTAGCAGCCATCCATCCAGCTCTCGTGAGGCTGAGTGCCTGCTTTGGTCAACTAGCCCTTGTGGTTGTGCAGAAGAGGGGCGGAGCCTATGTCTGAGGCGGTAGGAGTGGCCATGCTCAGTAAAGCACTCGCTCTTTCTGAATGGAGTTGCGTCCTCTCAAATAGGCTTTCCATACCACTGTTTATCTTTCCTGATTTTTCCCCTTACACGATGGAGGCCAAGTATCTCATTTGTTAGGTCATTATAATGTGTGGGATGTGTTTGCCCTCCTCTATCATAGCCACTGTTCGAAGGCTGTGTGTTTGACCACATTTCATCCTCCCAGCAAGTCTGTGAGTCGAGCACCGCTTATAGATGATGAGAAGAAGTTGGAAGAGTTGAGCAAATGCCCTGGATGGGACACTGATAGAAGCAGTGCTCAATGAATCCCAGGATGGCCTTGATGTCTCCTCCTCCCATCAGGACCCTGTACAGAGCGGTCACCTGATACAGCCTGTCCTGTATGTTTGTTGGTATTGTGTGTGAGAGTAACGATGTGGATGCTTATACTGATGCGTTGCCTTGTTGTTGAAACATGAATAGTTTATAACTAAGAGGGGTTTTAGACAATACTGGATAGCAGAGGACAAGGCCTCCCTTTCACTTACCAACAGCCTACTGAGAGGCTCTGGGAGCAGGTACTTGTCAAGTGGTTAGTGTACAAGAATTTGATAATATTCGTGACACAATAAAGTCGTTTTGGGGAAGGATTTGTACTATTACTTCCTGAAAGGACTTTATTTGGATGAATAACTAGAGGGGAGAAAGAAGAAAGAAGGGAAACAGGGAAGGAAGGAAGGAAGGAAGGAAGGAAGGAAGGAAGAAGGGAAAGGGAAGAGAGAATGAATGAGCATAGGAGAAAATGAAACCGTACTTGCACTTTCCTCCACCAGTGCCTTCCTCTGTAACATGGGTGACGATGGCCTTCATAGGCGGGGTGTGATGAAAGAATTAATTCATGGGAAGGACTTGAAGCCCTGCCTAGCCCAGAGAAAGTTGCAACACACAGAACTGTGCGCACCATAAGAGGTGGGCAGACCCAGCTCTTGATGGTGCTTTCAGATCAGTGTCGTCGTCTCAGATTAGAAATAAAGAAATTCTTCCATAATACAGGCTAATATTTACTCATATCGTGCAGCAACTAAACAAGAGCCAGTCAACTTCACCAAGAACGGTGTGACACTCTACAAGTCCCCTTTGAAGCCTTTTTTTTTTTTTTTTGTATCTGTCCCATGAGCGCCCTCTTTGGAGCCGCTTCCACAGTGGTGAGGATAAATGCCAGGCGAGGAGATTGTTCGCCCGGGTCAGGCCTGCCCACTTTTGGTGGCATCATCATTTTGACATGAAAACTCAGTCTCAGACACTGTGCTGGCTCATCACCGTGCTCGGATGAGGCCACAGAACCCTCTGCCAGGCACCCTGGTTCTACCGGAAGCATTTCTCATTCCGCCATGGCTATGGCACTTGGCTGTGTCTTGTCACATGTCCCTCAGTCATCTCCAGCTGGCATTCCTTTCCACCCTGTGCAGGTGTAAGAACAGGGGTTCCTCAAGGTTCGAAGGAAGGGAGAGGCTTAGTGTACATCTGTGGCTGGCCATCTAATGGCTCCCTTGGTAGGGCAGATCTTGCTCATTAGGGCAATTCTTCAGAAAGCAGGCTTGTTTCTCTTTCAATTGAAAGGTTGAAAGAGCTAGGGCAATCTGTTTTCAAAAGAAAACAACAACAACAACAAATCCAAAAAACAAAACAGGCATTTAAGCAGCAAGGCTCCGAACCAGCATTTTACCTTTCTCTGAACTATCCCCAAGTTTTTCCTTTAGTCAACAACAAAAGCAAAGGGCTGTTTTCATAAAGCTTGAACCCAATTGTCTGCTTTGTAACTGGTGTTTTGCTGGGGACCTAGGCCATCCAAAATTCCTGCATGACTTCCCATTGTGTGAAGCTGGTAGTGTGTGTTCCTCAACCCTGATGCCGTCCAAGTAAGTTCACTGCTTGTAGAGCCCGGAACTTAAGGATAAGTGAGGTCTAACTATACATGTATGCTGCTGCTGGGTCAGCACTATACTGTCCGTCGAAAGAAGACAAAACACCACTTTTCTTTTATTGCCTCAATATTGAAATACATAAATTCAGTAAAACGTGCACTGGAGAGAATGGCCTAGGCTGGCTTCCGAGATGATAGAGGCCGGACCAACTCAACTCCTTTGTCAGAGCAGAGACTCAAGTGCTTGGGAGGAGCTGGTTATCTGTAACTTTGGATGGTTTTAGGGAGGTTCAATGAAGATGGTAAGTTGTGAGGAAACCCTCAGACATCTGAACAGGACTTCGGTAGACACTTGGACCCTGCCTGAGCTGAAGCTCAGCATTAAGGAAAGTGTTGTGCCTTAAGGTGGCCACATGGCAGCACAGCTTGTTTGCTTTCTTGGTAGGAAAGAAAAGGGCAGCTTTCTTTCACAGGGCAGCTGAAGACCCAAACACACCATGCTGCGCTCTGGGCTTTCTGTCTTGAGGATCCTCCAGAGCACAGGCTTGCCAGGCTTTGTGCTCGTAGTCTCCATGAACCTGAGGAATGTGGCGGGACCGCAAGGTAGTAGACAGGCTAAGTGTGGCCCGTGTATGCTGCCCCAGCAACCCCATCCCGTGCAGAGATTCTCTAAGGCCATATGTTGTTCTGAGTCCTGCCTCCTGCCTACACCTGATTGTCTGCCTTCCAACTACAGGCTACAGGCTGCCTCATTGAAAGTCTCTGTTCACACTAGGCAGAACTAGTTTTGGTAATTTGTGCCTGTGAACTCTTGATAAGTTCGGGCATCCCAAACAGGATCCCATGCAGTGTCTGAATGGCTGATGCGGTTAGATTTTCCTTGATAGTGTGGCTGACTGAAGTACTACGCCTGTTATTAAATGAGTAGACTCATCTTGCTGAGCTATTTCATTGCGGTGTGACCTCCGGCAATCAGCATTTTTATTTAAATGTCTAATAATAAACTTCACATAATTAGTGCTTTGCTCCACATTTACTTCCCACTACTCATTCTTTTCTCAGAAAGAAATAAAAAAAAAAAATACAGCACAAACCAGCAATCCCTTCTGGATCCCTGCAGACCACAGGCTGTCTCTCGGTCTGCAGGGCATCATGGGATAGCAGGAGAGGTCTAAAGTCCTTTAACCTTCCTTGCATTTCCATCCCACACACCCAAGGTGATCCCTATCACTTCTTGTGTTTCGAGATTTCCTAGGGCCTTCAATTTTGAACCCCAAATTAAACTTGGAACTGCTGACTATGGTCTAGTGAGACATCCATGATGTTATCGCTCCCTGCATCTCCTGACTCTGGTCTAGTGAGCCATACCTGACACTACCTCTCCCTGCGTCTCCTGACTGCTGTCTAGTGAGCCATACCTGACACTACCTCTCTCTGCATCTCCTGCTTTCTGTCATCTCGACTTCTCTCCCTCCCGTGTGTTGCATTGCCTTCTCCGGAGTGTGGGAAGCAGACATGAGCAATTCTGTCCTGACCTTTAGGGATTTGTTCTCCTCTAGAGAAGCCCTTCCTCACTGCCCATCAGAACATCCTCAGGTCCTCGCTAATGCTGTGCTCTTTCGCTTTCTTTATAGAAGCCGTTTCCGTGTAAAGTTACAGAATTTGTGTGATTAGGTCTTGCCCATCTTGCCCTAGATCAGCAGTTCTCAACCTGTGGACTCAACCACAGCCCTGTAAGGGAGACAAATGACCCTTTCACAGGGGTTGCCTAAGATCATCGGAACACAGATATTTACATTACGGTTCATAACAGTACCAAAGTTACAGTTATGAAGTAGCAGCAAAAATAATTTTATAATGTGGGGGTTACCATAACATGAATTGTATTAAGACAATTGTATCAGGAAGGTTGAGAACCACTGCCCTGGACTACTACTCTCTTGAGGCCAGAATTTTCACCTCTCTTTTTATTTTATTCCCATGCCTAGAGAGGTGGTTAACGCAGTAGATACTTAATTGATAAATACTTGCTGATAATCAGAAAATTAAAGACTGAAGTTGCTTAACCATTTCAAAACCTAGTGTTTCATATGAGATGTCTTTTCTATAGGGTATTGGGTAGATTAAGACAATGTATATAAGCACAGCACAACACAGTGCTCAATGTGATCCATAAAGATTTCTGTCAATTGTGTTTTGGTTTTCTTGGTTGTTGCTGGATAGACATTATATAAATTTATATCAGCATGTGATTAAATGTTGTTGCTTTTGCTTAAAGTACCAGTGAAGAGCAGTATGTACTTACTAAAGCTTGCATTTTTGCTCACAAGCTATCTGAGATGAATTTTATGTCTCTTCTAGAGTTACCAGGGAGCATTTCAGATTCTTCTCTTCTTTTTCCGGGAGAGTGTCTTGGCTTCTCTTGATAGAGAATATACGCATTGTTTAAGAAGGTTCCCTTGGGTTATTGTTAATATTCTCACTGTGATAGAAAGAAAAGAGCACACAAGACAACAATATACTGTATCTAATGTCCAAATGATTTCCTGACTTAAGAGGGCCTCTCAAAGCAGAGGAGCAAGGTGCACAGTCAACTGGAGAGCTTAGTGTATGTTGGAAGCCTGGTACCCAGATGTTCTAGAGACTGGAATGCTAAGGCCCAGGCCAAGCATCTGCTAGCTAATGCCAAGCTAGCACTCAGTGACCTCAATTTCCTCTGCCTAGGTAACAGAAGTTATCACCATATGGGACCTCAGAGTATAACATCTAAGGGCAGATAGGAAAGGTTGGCCTGTGGCTTCCTTTCATACCAAGGATAGAATTAGCTTCAAAGCATTTGTGTGTTCTCTAGGAAATCAGCTGTAACTACAGTCCCAGAGATTGTAGTGTTCCCCGGGGACATTGAAATTTACTAAGTGGTATAGGGGAGATTAAATAGCTATGAATGTCCCAAGTGTGGGTATTTCTTGTTGCTGATTATCCCCAGAGATGTGCATAGGCCTTACCTATAAAAAGTACTAGTGGAATCCTCTGACTGTTGCTCAGCTCAGAGGTTGCAGCTGAATTCTTCTAGTGCAGGTCTGTTCACCTGTGGAACAAACTTAAATGATCTGTAAAGATATAGTTTATGGCTGTCTATCTAGTCATACATTTACACATGTGCATATATAACATACTTGGATCAATTTTGGAATCTTTTCACTAGCCTACAATTTTAATTGTATAATTACGATCTAATGGGAACGCACTTTTCTCTTCTAGTGGTGCCTACTGCCCCTATTCAGAAATCAACTTGAATAAAGAGCGCATTTTCCCAGACCGCCTAAGCGGTGAGATGCCTCCATCTAGTCCAACATTTCCAAGAAGTCGAAGGACAGACATAAATGAAAACTCATCATCTCCTGAAACCAGGTAATTGAAGTGATTGATGATGCCTGCCTTGTGCAGACGCACTCTCGTTGTCTTGCAAGAGGTTGTCGTCATGCATGCTTTATGTTTTGTGGCAATGTTTTCCTATGGATTATTCAAAATGTACATGACTTAGCCAGGTTGGTATGTACTCCCAGAATCCTATCACTGGGGAGGTAGAGACAGGAGACCCACTATACAGTTTAAGGTCAGCCTGATGTACATGAGACCCTGCCTTAAAAACCAAACAGAAAGTCATTAAACAACAGTGGAGATCCATTCTTGGAAACTCCCTATTATCAGCCCTAACATTTGACTAAGATCCTTAAATCCTTAATTGAATGCGGCTGTGATAACATGCGCCAAGCCACTGGCAAGGCAAAAGCAGGAGAATTGCTTAGTTCAAGATCAGTCTGAGCCAAACAGTGAGACTTCATGTCAAATAAATATATAAGTAAAGTGATTCAACCCTGAGCGCAGTGTGGCCCAAGGCTGGCAGCTGTTCATAGAGGAAGTAAGTAGAAAAGGCTCTGCTTTTTCCCAGATGTGTTTTCCTCTTTCAAGAAAACTGTGAAGTGGTTATAAAACTCATAATGTTATGGTTTAAATTGTGTATGTATGCATTATAATATTTTCAGTGTGTCTTGCTTGATACTGAAGGAAATGGCCGGAGGTACTTACGTCTAACTCTCACAGTGATCTACTTCCGGCTGGGGTTATTTCTTCAGGATTTAATGGTGGATGGGGTGGGTGCATTCCTTGAGGTATAGACAAGGACTTGATCCTTCTTTGAAGCCCTGAAGCCTTGTGCTGGAAAGTTCAGAGTTTTTTCATAATTTGACATTTCTATTGCTGCGATAAAACATCACAGACCAAAATCAGCGTGGGGATAAAGAGGCAAATTTATTTCAGTTTTCATTTCCACTGCACAGTCCATCACCGAGGGAAGGGAGGGAGGAACTTTCAATAGAGCTGGAACAGCAGTCAGGAGTTGTTGCTGAGGCCAGCACGGAATGAGGAATGAGGCTTCTTGGCTTGCTTCCAGGACCACCAAGGGTGGCACCTCTCATGGTGAGCTGCCCCTCACCCCCACCCACCACACCAGTTATCAATCAAGAAAATATACCACATCCTTGCCCCTGGGCAAATCTGATGGGGCATTGTCTCAATTGAGGTTCCCTCTTCCCAAATGACTTGCATCATAAAACTACTCAGCAAAGAGTTGGAGACTGTTCAAAACCCTATTTTGCTTTCATCGCATCTTCTCAATTGGCCTTTTCTGCATCAGCATTGGCCAAAGTCTTGGTTTTAATATGTAAGGCTTGTGAAAGAGACATAATGGAATCTTCATAACTCGTTGTATAGGAGTCCTTATTTCTTCTGCTTTCCTCCCAGATGACCAAGAAACAGTAAGTCAGTTCCATTTTGAACAATCAAAAAATATATCAAGAGTTTATAGAATAATAATTATTATGAGGGACTGGGGGGATGGCTCTGGGTGTAGGCATTTGAGCTTGGAGCTCTGACACTCGGGTAAAAGGCAGGCACGGGTACACACCTAACCCCAGTACTAGGAGGGGATGACCGGTAGATCCTATGGGCTCCCTGGTCAGCCAGTCTAGCAGACATGGCAAGCTCCCAAGTTCAATGAGAGGCCCTGTCTCAAAATCTAAAATACTAAGGGAACCAGTGTCTACCTCTGGCTTCTAGATTTGCACACATGGGTGAGAGAACCCTGTCCCCCAAACACAGACACACACACACTCGCACACCAATGCCACCACACACATACAGTTTAAAAAAAAAAAAGGTTATGAGAATTATAAACATTCTGCTTAATTAAAGCTTTAAGTCACTGAAGCATAAGTATAGTAAATAATCTCACATTTTCATTCAAAGTTTATGCAGTCCCTGGCAAGGGAAAAAACTTTTTTAAAAATGATATGCAAAAATATTTAGTAACTAACTTCTTGGGGCCCTAACAGGGATTATTGAAGGATAGTTCTTGTTCCTTCTAGACATTTTCTCAAATGTTACTTTCTTGAGTAAATAGTCAATGATGCAAACCTCTCCCACAGACCAACGAAGGGCATCCAAACACTGGATGGTGAAAGTTGATGAACTAAACATTCCTAGTCTTGCCTCTCCACCCAGCTATGCTCTCGACTCTGTGCTTTTTCCTCCATGGAAAGTGATGTAATAGAAGAAAGCAGGGGGTACCCCAGCTTATGCATTGGCTTCTCTGCATGCTGTGCATATGACCTTTGGTCTTTCACTTGTCTCTTGGATTCTTTTAGTTAAATGAGGATGATAAAGGTGAAAAGTGTAGTTGAAAAGCTCTCCAGGTGATAACTACTAAGCCCTAACTCCCTGCATCCTGGCAGTCACTCACAAATAACCACACAGAAACTTATTAATTATAAATGCTCCGCCAATAGCTTAGGCTTGTCTCCAGCCAGCTCTTACAACTTAAATTAACCCATTCTATTCATCTATGAGGCTGGTTTACCTCATCTTGTAAACTTCCCATGTTGCTTCTTCCACATCTGGCTCATGATGACTCCTTGGACTCTGCCCTTCTTTTTCCCAACATTCTCTCTGCCCCCAAAATCCTGCTTAGCTATCAGCTAATCATCTTTTTATTAACAATGAGAGCAGCACGTTTTCATAGTGTACAGAAGGATTATTCCACAGCAGTTATTAAATGGTAGTTTTATGAGCATTTCTGAAAGAGAAATAGGTTCTTTGTTTGTTTGTTGCAGAGGCCTGGTTGAGTCTCCCTTATCCAAAATGCTTGGGATCAGGATGTTTCAAATGGGGGATTTTTAAACATGTTATATTTGCCTAAACTTTACAAGTTGAGCATTCCTAGTCTGCAATGCTCCAAGAAACACTCAAGAAATTTCTGCTTTGGGCACATTTTAGATTTAGGGATCAGAAATATTCAGCCCATGTTTCCTTTCTTTCCTAAGAGTACGAGCATGGCCAGTCAATTTCTGTAGTATTTCTGGGTGATGTTCATAATGTCCGTGTTCCCCTTTCTTCTGCGATCACTGCTCACCTCACATGTTTAGCGAATTTTCCGCATATAGTTTTTAATTTGTTAGACTTGAGCTGCCGTTCTCTACTTCTTAGATAATTTTCACTCCCAGAGACAAGCTGTGAGATGGATCTGATTGCAAGTGGCTCATTTGTGAGGCGAAGAAAACACAGGTGGGGGACTGGGAGTGAAGCAGGGGGGAGACAATCAGAAACAGCTAGCCTGTCACACCAGTTCCTGCTGCAGGGCAGCAAGGCACAGACCTGCTGGGAATGCTCTGTGAAGTGTGTAAACCACACATTTCAGAGCCTGCCTTGGGGAGGGGCAGGGGAGTGGAGCTACTCACACGCCCCTTTTCTTCTGAGGCCTCCAGATGAAGCAAGTGAGCATTAGGCCTGCGTGTGCTGAAGAGGCAGCTAGTAGCCTGGGGTGTGCACAGGCTGTGCACTGATAGGAGCGCTGTGCCATCACCATACCCAGATGCCAGATAGTCCCCAAGTGAGTGAGGTGTTGGTATGGCTTTTGGTTCGGGGGTTAATCTAACAGGCAAGGTCAAATGAATAATGCCAATCACGTGTCTCTCCTTTCCTACCTTGGCACTATTTTAAGCGTCACCTACCTGAGTTAGGCCATGGGCGACTGATACTCTCTAGCAGCAGTGCCCAAACTGTTGAATGTCAGATGCCCTGTAGTGTCCTTAACGTTTAGGTTTCAGACCTGTACCAACCCACCAAAATCTTCTAGGCTAGGGCCCTGAAGTCTGAATTTTAAAAATTCTTCTGATACTAAATCCCCTCCTTCTTACAACTTTCAGTGACTTCCTGATCCTGGGCACTGAGACCTTCGTCCCTAATGTAACCCCAATAGAGTCCTGCGTTTCCCCTAACTCTGCCAGACTCTTTCTTCAGGTGGATACTTCAGCCGTCTTTCTCTTTGCCGAAAAGCTGAATCTCTGCCCATTAAAGCCACCATCCCGCCCTCTCAGAAGCTTTTGCTGACCTTCAAGCCTGTAGATCGGGCCATTATACGTTTGGAAAGACTTCCTCGGAGTCTTTGTGCTTTTCTTTCGAAGTTCTATCATGGTAGAGGCCGTGTCTATCTTCCTGCCCCTCGGCATGGAGCATCCTTGATCTCCTGAGAATGTAAATGTTTTAAATTAGCCATCCTTTCTCAAAGGAGAAATGACTGGTATGTGATCTGGGAGACATTCATTATGTAGTTTTCTCTTTATGTACTTGAAAGCCCTACATTTTCCCTTTTGTGAGACTGTCATACCAAATATTTCAGAAGTCATTGCCAAATGATGATGCAGAGTCTCCAAATACATTCTTGTACTCTTGTAACTTAGGGTGAGACTTTCTTACTGGTTATTTACCTTCCTGGCCTGCCTAGATTAGTAAAGATACTACATGAGGACAGATATGAACCTGCCTTCAGTGACCAGAGAAAAAGGTTCAGGGACCATATCCTAGAACCTTTCTCTACCTGGGATTCAGAATATCCTCGAGTCTTTTTGTTGGGTTCTCAAAGCTTGGGCCTGTTTTCTTTTAGACACTGCTCAAATGGCTGTGCACCATCCCTAGGGCATCCGAGATAGAAATGGGGGTGTTCATGCAGTCCTTTTCCATCTCCACCCTCATCCTTGTCTGTCACAAACTTAGCGAGCATCTGCTGAGCCAAGTGCTTGCTGTGAGGTAATGTCCGCATTTTGGATAGAGCGGTTCATCACTACCCTCTCGTTGCCCCTGGAAGATGGTGGCTTTTTCTGGGGATTTACATCTCCACGTGTCTCCAGCTGAGTCAAAGAATATGTGTATGCATTTCTCTGTGTTTTAATAAAACCTGGGTCTGGATCTTTGATTCATATGGGATCATCTAGGCTGCTTAGTTAAATGTGGCTTTTGACTCAGTACCTCCCAGGAATTCGCTTGACAAACAATCCCGGGTGACAGGAGCAAGTGGT